AGTTTCATTTGAGGGAAATGAGTCATAGAGCGTTTCATTAAAAAAAAGGGTAGCGTGAGGCTGACTTAGGGTGGATTTAAAAGTAATGGTTTGTCAAAGCTCAGCAGCGGAGCTTAATGTGTCATCAGTTGTCGGCTTCAAAGGGGATTGATATAAGTCTGAGGTTTATCACTGTGAGTCAAAAATAACTGTGGAAGCACACTTTAATAATCACAAATTACTTCTCTAATTTATTCTAGGTCACACTTAATGCATGAGATGGTGGTAACTTATTTGGATCCGCTTTACAGCCTCATCCTTTTAAGCATCGGCCAAGATCGGTGTTACATTTAATGCACGACTGCATTGTGGCCGTATGAATTTCCATCAGCTTGTGCGTGAGGTGATGTTTTTATTTTTACCGCAAACAAATGGACAATCAGCGTTCACGGTATTTTTTTTTCCACATGTATTATGCATCCTGGTTGACCTCATATTACTACAGGTCTTACTCCCAAGGGATTAGCACGTCTCATTCGCATCGGCTGTTGCAGCCTCAGTGAATGTAAATGCAGACGGCGTCTAACTGCGTCCATAAGGGCACAGGGGAGACTGTCCTGCTCTCCAGCCCATTAAAGAGGACTCCATTATCTGCACTCTGTACTAGTAACACACACACACACACACACACACACACACACACGACAGCAAGCAGACGATGAGCACATAAAGTAGTCCACCTTAAGTAGCTCCCTTCCAACGCCACGCCATGCATATTTTATAAGAGGCGGCATTAAAAGCCAATGGAATAAGGAATGGCTGGCTAGGTAGCTGGGTTAGCTCCACGCCCTACTTCCCTTCTAGTTCAGACACCTTTTGCTTTTGTTGCTGAGAACCGGACACAGGGATCGTTGAGCGAGCGAGACGGCATCAAAGGCGAAGACGAAGAGGACCAATGGCCCAACAACTGCTCACCCGGGACAGGATTGGTTGCTGAATAAAGATGCCTGAGTATCTCTTTTCTCTGTGTTTTTCCTTTCCCCTCATTTACAACCTTTCCCGCTGGAGTTTTCACACCAACAGTAAAGTGGAGGCAAGGTCAAACCTGCAGATGTGTTTTAATACCTGGGGGGCGGATCAGCCCTCCAGCTGAGAGACGGCGTACCGCTGTGCATTGAACACACTGGACAGAGACCAAGAAACTGTACGTCGCTCACAATAGCAGCTGGGTGGCAGCTTCGGCGTTTGATGGTTTTAGTCGGAGTTTGCATGTATTTGTTTTTATCGGCATTTGATTTGCTGTGTACTGAGGTTTGCAACATGTTCCTGCCCGGTAAGTCAACGACCGGCGGTGTGAGTGACACGGGCGGGTCGTTCTGTGTGACACACTTTGGGGGGGGGGTACGGCATTCGGAGGTCAGCCACGAGTCAGTTCTGTCGTACACACTCTGAACACTCACAACTCTCTTATTCCCTGCGCTGTTCGCCCTCATCTCTGAGAATAAATATTTAACTTTGACCCCAGCTTTGTCCTTCAGCCTGGAAGCGGTCTGCATGTGTGTATCTCTGAGTGTACTTGCTCATAAAAGACTGGAAGTGTAGCTGAACTATTTAGTTTATTTTTGGGTTAACCCGGCAATTGAATGCTTGTAAATTAACACTTTGAGATTCCCCAACATCTAACATCTCAGACCTGCTCATGAATTTCCCAAGCCAAGTTTATTGAATCGGCCAATAGTTAACTTTTAACAACCTGTGCACATCCCAGCGACCTTGCTATTGTGTTGATTTAATAAGCAGTGCAGCCTTTATTCCAGTGAAAAGCGTGTTTGTTTCAGCGATCATTCTCAAGACTAAACCAGAGCAACACGGGACCTTCTGACGTTGACTTAACGCTTGTTACATAAAATTAATAAGAATGTCTGCTAAAGTGAGACTACATCACTCGAATCCAAACCACTATGTTTTTTTGAATCTTAACCAAGTACTTTTGTGGCCTGAACCTAGCCAATTGTTTCAAAATGTTAACCACATGACATTGTGTTTTCTGCAAGCTACAAGGCTGACATCAAACATATATCTGACTCGGAAAATGACATTCAACAAATCTTGCGGATTGCCTTTAAAGTGCAATGCCAATAATCTTATTCTGGCATCTGGGTTTCATAGAGCTGCAAATGAAAAAGTTAGAATGGAGAAAAGCGTATTCCTGACCGCCGTGAAGTTTGCTTTAGGAACACAAAGAGCTTGCTTGTGTTTAGGGAAAGGCCGTGGTTTGGTTTGGAACAATCACTTAGGGGACGGTTAGGAGACCTTTGCCGCCCCCGTTGACAATAGAACCCACTTTGGTTACGGGTCGAGAACAAGAGGGCTTTGTCACTTGAATTTAACGGTTTTGGGCCGATTCCTGAAACAAGAGTTTTTTTCTTCTTGGGAGAACAGTTTCCATTTTACTTCCTTTTATTTCAAACACCGACATATGCAGCCATTATTCACTTCATTACGATCTACTTCCGTCCAAAAGCACCTTTTTCTAGCCTGGAGAGTATTGTGGTTATATTGGCTGTGTCTGGTTGGCCTTCGATGTGTGAAAACAGGAAAAAGCTTCGTTACAGTTTGTCACGGTTGCGTTGAGATCAGGGAGGCAGTTTGGCGTCTCGGAAAACCAAACGGTCCAATAGAGATGTAACCTGGCAGCACGCACCTCCCGGACTCCAGGTTGGCCACCGAGGTGTGTGTGTGTATGTACGGCTGGCATGTTCGGTGGCCATCTGCAAAGCAACAAGGGCTCTGGCCAAGGTGTGCACAGACACACACGCACACACAGGGAGTCACCTACATGCAAGCATATGCACACACCCATGTTGCTGCAACTTGTCAAAGTGCGGGTCTGGGCATGTGTGATCCAAGTGAGAAATAATCACTCTCGATGCAAAGATCAAAATCATCTTTCCAGGAAAATAGGCAGCTCCCTCCTGAACAAAGGCCCCCCCAGCAAAAACATGCTCTCCGTCTCTCAAGATCCCTCGCGCACACACAGACACACACACACACCCTACACACACACAAATATACGCTGCAATATTAAGGAATGTGAGTAATATCCCTGCAGGCAAATCAGTAATATTGGCCAGCGCAGATCTAAGATGTTGTATTATTCAAATCCTCTGACTCCTGCAATCAGCTAGAAGAAATATATAAAACATGAAATATAAATGTCTGGGATTTCAACGCGAACGGTTTGGTGTTGCCAAGGGGACATGAAAGTTCATTACAGACGTTTAAGTGATTTGGCAGCGATCAAGACGGCGATGCTTCATTGCCAATGTTATTGTTTGAAAAGTCTAGATTAGCACCTTAATGCCGCAGGTCTATTGATAGTGATTATGAGCTTAGCTGAACAAAGACATTGGTGATCGTACACATTTAGGTGATGAAAACGATGCCAGAACAGGCCGGTCAATCAAAGCCGCGATCGCGCAGCTCTTTCATGTTAATCCCTTGGTGCGGCGCCGCTGAAGATACTTGGAATCATTACTTAACACCAACAAGACAAAGATCCCTGCCCCGTCCGTCCTCTCGGCCTCCGTTTGTTTGCACAAATGCAAAGTGAGGCAGTTATAGATCATATTCGTTGAATACGCTGAAGCTGATTAGTGAGGAAGAATTAAAGGCCCCCAAAGCTGCTTTTCCTAAATCCGAGATTAGTCAAATAATAAGACGCGTGTCTTCCTGCTCGCACACTCACACATGGACAAAACGCTGGCTTTGGCTCCGTCCTGACAACCGAGCTGGTATCTCCACTCCCTCAGAACCGTCCCTTGGCCCCGGTAGTGACAGCCCTGACTGGGAGAAGTCGCAGCGAGCCAGTAAGGCTTATTGGCAGACCAGTGTTTCCAGTGTGAGACGTGCCGGGGAATCTAGCTAGCGTGTCGCGCAGTGCAGAGTTGAGGATTAACCTACTAGCACAATTGCAGAAGTTCCAAGCTTTTTTCTTTTTCTCTCAGAAGCTGCTGGATTTATTTATTTGTCTACTACGGTTCACTTATTCAAATATGACTGGAAACATGCACACAAACAGACACACTATTAACCTCAGGGCAAACTGTTATATTGTGAAAAGCAGAAGAATTTACCATGGTTACATTTGAAGTTAGTGATGTAACTCCATTTTCTCCCGAATAAGCCTAAAAATACATCATTGAGATGAGAAGTAAAAATGTAGAAAAAAGCTACGTGCATATTCCAGCAGTCATATTTTTAGGAATTTTAATCTAGTCTACCATGCCTGAAATAAAAAAAGTTAAAAAGAGACAAAAAAAGATCTAGATGATGAGAACACAGATATAAAGCCAATGCACATGCAAAGGGAAGCAAAGCAGAGCAAATAGAAAATACAATTATCCGTGTCTGTTTGACCCGGGGGAATTCACAGTATAATGCCGGTGGATCCAATTCACTTGCAAAAGAGTTGAGCAGGATGTAAAGCTCGATTCACAGCCAACTCAGACCATGAAAAAAACCAACCGTTCACACAGACAAAGAGCTGCTGCATCTCCACTCCATGTGAGAACGACTGCTTGGAATCTGCATGAGGGGCAGAGGCACCCTGGGTAAAAACAAACACTATATGTACGTTGGCCTTGATTGTCCTTTCAAACAAACACTGTGAAAGAGGACGGGGACGGCATACGGTTTTGAGGACCGGCTACTCACCCGACATAAGAGGGAGATCAGGGGGCGCAACCATTAACATATTCTTTTCAAAAAAGAGTCTACTCACTGGACCGTGCATGGAGCCCTTTTTCAAAAAGAGCCCGTCTCATACTGCTGTGAAATGAGGTGAAAATAAGCAGACTTAAAAGAGACGGCTTGGGAGGAAGACGTCCACCCCCCCCCCCCCCAATGTCTGCGGAGGTTTGCCGAGGTGACCCCAACAAATCAGCTTTTGGATGGAGTCCAGGGATGAATCCGGCGCACTGGGGAACAAACACACGCGCAGGCCCGGCCTCGCTGTCAGCGGATATGCATGTCAGAGCTAGCGCTGTCATTTTCTCGCTGTGAGGGCTTTCATCTCGTGGCTGGCTTCCCCCCTCGGCCTGCTTCGCTTGCCGGGCTCTGCCCGTCCCTGGACTGCCAACCGAAACAACGACATGCTGCAGCCTCTCAGGCTTATTGCACACACACACACAGAGAGCCCTGGTTCCCGAACTCAAAATAGTCGTAGCAATTAACAAAATTCTGCGGGACATAGTAAACTAAACGGCACCTCTGTCTGCGGCAGAGATCTGTTGCATGGAAGCGCGTCTGCCGCGCTGCATATTTATCAAAGTGACAGCAGGCGTCAGGGATACGGGGGCTCCAACATAACCACTTACTCACTAATGGCTTACACAGCCACGGATCATTATCCCTCACAGCACAGCACAACACAACACAACGCGGCGCTTGCACGGCACCGTGCTGCACAGCACACACACACACACCCCCCTGCGCCAGCGTTGCATTGGCTCGACTGCGGTGTGAATTTTTGCAGGTTTATATGTGTCTCCGGCATCAGAATGGTCACGTGGTTTGTCAGTTTTGAAGTTACAAGTCCTGCTGTGTATAGAAACTGTACGTGGCCTTTAAATCTGAAATGCCGTAGCTGAACAATTCATAGTTTTTGTCCGTCACCACTACGGCTCACAACTGCTAGATCAGACAGGTCAAGAAGTGTAATTGGTCAGATGGTCAGTCAGGTTGTAAACAAGCCAACAGTCAGTCAGATTATTTATATACACCACAAAAAAAACTTTGAAACTCATTGGAAAGGAAAAACATGTGCAGCCATGGACAGTAAGAATGGTAAAAGTTGAATCAGGACGTCCATCTGTGAACTATTGGGTGTTTACAAGAGACCGTTTTGAGCAATTATTTTACCATTTAGCAAATGTTCTCATCCCAATCCGTTTGGCTAAACGGAGGCTGTGTTTACAGCCTCCTCTGTTTCCTACACGGTCACATTTCTGTTTGGCACCATCCCTCTCATCTCAGTAATTAACTTGGCGAGTATGAAGTTGTTACTGATAGTAATGTACAATTTTGTCCCTTCTCAGGTGGAATTAACAGCGTTAATGCCAGTTCCACGGCTGTGGTGTTGCTCGTGTGCTCACCCACGGACCCTGTGTACTGGGATCACCTGCGTACTTCCTGTTTTGACAAGTCGTGAAAAAGGGGATCCATGATCGCCCAAACTACAAAAATAACATGTTGTTGTAAACCGGAATTATTCACCATTCCCTTTCATCCCGACGGTGACAAATAGAAGCTGTCACTTCATTGCGGATGAAATGCTTCAGGGAATCCAGCTTCTAATCCAACACTGTCAAAGCTGTTGTTTGTATTTACAATGAGATAAACAGATGTAGACCTTTCGTGTTCAAAATTGCAAACGCAGCACTTTCTGAATTTTGACGTGTATGTTGTTTTTTTTTCTTCTTCTGCTATTTCCCTATCTATGCAAAATGCATCAAAAATATGTTCTTTATGATGTGTTGCCCAACACACACGTTTGTTGACGTGAAGATGACACGAAGCTGTGACTGGTTAGAAGACTAGAAACGACATGTTTAGTCTCTAGTGAGGACTACGGTCATTTGTGTGTTTTTTTTGGTTGAATTTCTTTTTGTGTTTTTGTTTCTTTCGGTTGCCTGTGAGCAAAGTATTCAATTACAACAGCAATAACACTTAATCCACCCTGACAGCAAAGAACTGTGCTATTCATTGGAAACAAGATGGTGCGCCATAAAGGTGATGGAAACCCTTTATAGCTGCCTGTTCAGCCATTTCTCTTGGCGGGCATAAAAAGGCTAAATATGTTAGCCAAACTAAACTTGATCCATAACATCATTAGAGATGCTTCCGAGTTGTGCCAAGATGATTTACAGACCAAATTAAAATGTAATATTTTGCTCAAGTGTTGCGTTTCCTCTTTGTTGGTCATCTTTGCGTTTGAAAAGGTGCGAGTGTGTGAAGCAGCCTGCCGTGAACGCCGAAAATGAGACTGGCCCCATGAAAGCCTTTTTGATTCATTGGAAGAGGTGATGGACAAAAAGGGTGCGCCAGGTACATTCGATTGATGACGAGGCCGCGGCGACGGGGTTAGATGTGAAGGGACATGAAAGACGGAAAAGGGACTTGCAATGCCCCATCTGTTTGCTACGGGCGAGGGAAGTAATGACGGATTCATTGTTCACTCAATTAGAATTCAAAGAGACAGCGGGGGGAGAGAGAGAGAGAGAGGGAGAGAGAGAGGGAGCCTGGCGTGTTGAAGAGCCCCTGTGAAGAGAGTGTGATTTCACAGGCCAAGTGTGAATGGCTAACACGGCTGAGCGAGGGAGGTGAGAGCAGAGCCCGAGGTGACGGAGGCAGAGGAGATCAGCTGAGGGAGGAGAGAGAGACAGAGACAGAGAGAGACACAGAGAGAGAGAGACTTTCATGCAGCGGAAACTTTTACAAGAGCCTTTAAAAAAAAAAGAAATACTGCAATTTCTTTCTTTCAGTTTTGGGCTCCACTGGACTGCAGTTCCTGTTCCCAAAAATGTCATTGTCCTTGAACTTCCCAATGGCCAGTTAAATGCTTTTAATGTGAACTGGCAGCAGGAGGAAATGTTCCGTTTGCATTAAGAGCAACTTAATACGTCCCTGGAATGAACAGTGAACAGAAGTTTGCCTTAAGGGCTTCTTACTAAAAGGGGTTTATTTAACCCCAAAACCGTTTTTTTCTAAAAGTAACCAATAACATATGTTTTACCAATCCTAAGAAGGATTATCTGGCAGAAATCCCTGAAGGTCAAACGTCTCCCAACGTTAATTGATCTTGTAAATGTGAGCAATTTGAATCCAGCATGAGAAGGAAAAACTTGACCATTGGAATTTAAGCCAACAAAGTTGAGAGATCATTTAAAAAATAGCTGAAAGAATACCAACAAAAAGTAGTGTAATGACATTTTTTCCCCCATTGAAATAATTTGAAAAATGGTTTGAGACTCAAACGAGTTCGACATTTAAACGCAATTACAGGGAAAACTCTCTAACTAGTCTAAAAGTAAGTCAGACGTATAGTTTGCTCCTGAAGGATCGCCAGCCAGCAGATGATAACTGTCATTTTGCATGTTTGGCATTTTCAACCTTTCCACATCTCCCCAATTTCTGCACAACACGTATTCAAACATCCCACTGTTGAACAATGACAACAAAAGGACTTTTCTGTCTCATCACCTACCAACACTTATACACTTAGACATTTAAATCAATGAGCTGCTGTACCCAGACATACACCCGAGTGTTTCTGATTTCATTTAAAGTTACAGTTTCGGGGTCTTGAAGTATCCGGTCACAGAGGCTCGGCAGTACTCAAGAAGAAGGAAAGAAGAGCGACCCGAGGGATCGCGGACAAGAGGTGAGCAAAAGAGTGTTAGAAGACAACGAGTGTTTCTGCAGGAGAGGTGCCGGTAAAAAGTGAGAATGGCAATGGGACGTTTGAAACGAGAGGGAAATAACAGCCCAGCCCCATTTCTGACAGCTTTGTCCTCCCAGACGACCACGTGGAGGATCGTAACGATATATGCCTCCCTGTGGCTGTGGCTGTAGCTGGGGGGGTGGCTGTTTTCTCTTACTTCTGCCCTGCTCTGCAACAGCCGAGCCATATTGTTGGCGCAGCATTCGTCCGCCGAGCCTCTCGGTGCTAATTCAATTAACCAGGCACTTTGTTAGGGCTCAGCATCACGCATCTGCATGCAAATCGACTCTCATATCGAGTGAGATCTAAATGATTACATTTCGCGAGCTGTTGCGCCACATACGGGTTTCCTTGATACAAACATAAGCCGGTTGTAGCCTGTACATTGAATGCCGATATGCATTTTTTAGTAGCAGAAAACACACAACACACCAAGTTCTTGCCGGGCCCCGGTCCATCCCGCTCGCCTTCTCCTCCCCTTCATTCCTCCAGTGAAACAGGGAATAGAGTTACACTCGCACTCCGTCCTCACAAGTCTTCAAGGTCTTAGACTGGTGGGCAGTGAGAACAGATTCCTTTCACTGACCAATGAGCCTTGAAGAATAGAGAAAATGACCTCTGAGATCTGCCGAGACAGAGATGGAGGAGAGAGAGAGGGGGGGGGGGGGGGGGGGGGGGGCAGTAGGAGAGACGGGAAACTAAAGTTGCAGAGGGAGAAACTTAAAATGATTGTAACCGTCTTTGAGGGGAAGAGACACGACACACACCGAGTCCCTAATGAGACATGTCACGCCGATGATGGCTGGAGACGATTGGGAAAGAGGGTGTTTTAATATGCCCTTAAATATTTGAAATGGCGGACATGCAGCATGGTCAAGCAAACGCCGCGCACATTTCAAGCCTTTTTTCATCAATTAGTCAGAAATGTGTCATGCTCGTAGATAGATAGTGACTTTATTATAACTCGCGCTGTGCAGCAGCTTCAGCTGCCCTGATGTATGGCGAGTCATCGTTCTAGTCTTGGGTGCACATCAAACCTCCGTCCCGTATGTCTTCGGAAGTTGTGAAGCTACAGCTGAAACTTCCTATAGTCAAAAGTATCAACTTGTCTGTTCGTCTTTAAATATAAAAAACGTAGAACTAGTTGAACTGTCTTGGCCCCACGGGGGAAGCTCGCATCTAGCAGGTGGGTGCGATGGAGGGATTTATGCAAACAGCTGGATTTACCGTGCCCACTTTTCCAAGCTGGGGCTGCTCTTGAGAAATTGCGGCTGGGAATGTCACGCACAATGAATTGTGGGCACTCTAAGCACTGTGGGACGTGTAGTTTTAATTACCAACATGCTGCAGACCATCAGCACAGATGGACGTCCTCCTAATTGTGGTCACGCGTTCCTTTAATGTTGTCAAGCGAAAACAAGCCTTTCCCCCGGTAGAACATTTTATTTTGACATTTGCTGCCTTGAGGATGTTTTTTTAGAATGTATTAAGATGTTGTGGGGGGTTTTGTGCCAGAAAAACGTGTCCCTTTTGGGAGGGATCGGGTTCAGATACAGTCAAACTTATCTATGCTCATGCTTATGTCTGAGGGGGAGGCGGTTGCCAAGCAGCACACTGCCATTTTGGAACCACTAGCGTTTTTTTCTGGGTTTAGCTGGGGGGGGGGGGGTGCACATATTTAGTATGAAAACTGAACTGTACCACCATCAGCATTTCAGATACACGTGTTAGGATGCATGATGGAGGTACCCCACCCATACTTCTATTTTGCATGTTAATTAACATAGACGCTGCACCAAAACATGATTCTGTTGTCAAAGTAGATTTACTTATGATGGAGGACGTTGCTCTTCTCTGAGGAGAACCTCTTGTGGCACTCTGGACAAAAGCTGGTTTCTTTACCATTTTGCATGGCCATTTAAAATGCAGCTGTTTTATCAACACTTTTATTTGGTGCATATGATCTTTTTTTACCCGTTATATATAGACCACTATAATTAAAATATTCCATAAAATGTATAGATAAATCTTATTAATACTCAATTACATTATATGTAATTGCTCATTTATGTTGTTTATCTTTTATTCATTAGGTCCAAGAAACCACAATAGTTTGCACTCTTTTCTTGCGGTTTAGTCGGAGTGACGTGAAAGAAGAAAGAAAGACAGACAAGGACACAGACAACAATAGACAGGGACACTGGAGAAGGAACGATGGAGCCACAGTGGGGGTGGTGTCACTCTGCCCCGCCGCCCTTGCATGAGGCTGAAAGATCATCCGTATCCATTAGCAACAGATGAGGAGAAGCACTGGCATTCTTCATTCTCTGCACCCATTCTATCATCTGCACTTACGCTTCTTCTCCGCCGCCATCAATCCAACAGACATGAAATGCACAGTTGATCAGCTCAATATTCCCCCTGTCCACTCACAGCCTCTACGCCAGCAAGATTTGAGTCCCCACGATGACTACCATGGCAACCAAGGTCAAAGTGGACATGCTTGATGTGGATTCATCTACTGCAGGTAGTCATCACACGCGTACACACGCAACTTTATTCATCAGCATTAACATACATATGGAGAAAAACACAAATGTAAACACAGACAAACACGCGTCTGAACGAATGGTCACAAACACAATGCATGTGTGGAGAGTTGTGACACGCACAAACCCACACACACACACACACACACACACACACACACACACACACAGTTTATCTGTTGACCAATCTTAATTGGAGCTGCTATTCCTGTCCGATGGGTCCTCTTCCTGCCTCATCTCTCCCCTCCTCTTCTTCTTCCTCCTCCTCAGTCTTCCAAACACTTATGCCTCCTCTTCTGTCCTCCACCCTCCTCCTCCGTGTTTCTATTTTGGCAGAGTCGGGCCGACCTCTCTCTCTCTCTCTCTCTGTCTATCTGCAGGAGATCCAGCGCCCTCATCAAACATGACCTCCCAGCACGGCCTCCCCCTGTTATCGCCCGCTCTCCCCTCACTTTCTTCTCTCTCCTCCTCTCCTCTGTCCGTCCTTCTCTGGCTCGCCTTTGTTCTCCTCCACATCAAGTGAGAGGGACGGAGGGTCGGGACCTGCAGCGGGGAGTGCTGCCGCGAGGAGGCTTTTGATCAGACGGGGAGCCGAGAAAGGTCGCTGCAGCGGACTGTTAGAGCTCATCCTCTGCTGCTTCAAGACGTGAACTGTTGCTCGATCCGTCGGCCACGCGGCGCAGACGAGGAGTGTGCATTTCAAAGAAAACAGCTTGTTGGTGCAGTTTGCTGTGTTGCTCATACTATTATACTGATACGCCGGAGCTCTGTTTTCTTTGATTGTGTCTCCCCTCATCGCCTCCTCTTTGGTACGTCCTCCATTTCTGGTCAAATTTTTCCAAGCGGCCCTCTTGGCTTGTTGAAATGTTTCTGTTTTGCCAAAGTTTTCTCGGCTAATAATTTCTAGGCTAAATTGTGCAAACGATGAAATTGGCTCATTCCACAGAGGCTATTTCCAACAAAATAAATACACTTTTAGAACTAAACACATTGAGGAAACACAATCGGATTGCACAATATTGTGGGAGAACAAACAATTCTCTGGTGGAGCTTTTTGAGAAAATAAACGGCGCTTTTTATTGATAAATTGTCTGCTATTTGATTCAATTTTCAATCCAGAAATCCCCACGTATTATTTATTCTTGGTTTTGATGTTGTGAATAATGGAACATGATGGTGGGAAAAGGAGCAGTGCTATTTCAGTTGACCGTTTGATGAAGCCATTTGAACATTCAAAGCAGTTATTTAGCACCGAGAAAGAGAAACACAAGAATACTCTTTAAACAATCTGTTGCAGCCCACCCTGTTAATTAGTACTTTAATTAAGATGAGTGTGCATGAGCTGGGATCGTTGCCTCTCTCGACACGAACCTGAAGAAGTAACAGGTTTTTATTTTTACGCACTTTTAAGCTTTCAGGATTGGAGGATGCTCGTCCACAAGCCTAAGTAGCGTTTTTTACACACTGCTGATTCTGCAAAAGCCAATGATGTTTTCTTCTTCAAATAATTGATGCATCGTTGCCTCATATAAAAGTTTCAGTCCAAAATGCAGAAGTTTTGTGATCACAAAGGCATCGTTGTTCTCGCACCAAGGCATATAAAACAACACACCGTCGCAGTTTGAAGTCCGGGGCCAGTTCGCTTGAGGCTGTTCAGAAATATAGATTACAAAGGCGATGCCGAGCTGAAGCTTCGCCTTTGGGGCTCTTACAGTTGTATATCAGCTTCAACTGCAAAAGCCTAAAAGGGGCATTAAATAATCCCATTGGTCTCACTGCTGTGAATGACCATAATGTTCTGCAGTGGTTTAAATGGCTTCTTAATCAATACAACCAACGTATGTGTCCTGCGTTCTCAAGTCAAAGACAACAGTATAAAGTACAAAGTTGGATGCTGTATTTATATACGTTTGTAATTACCTTTGCATTGTGGATTCAAGGTTTTGACTGTTGCATTCTGTGATGAGGAGTGTCCGGTTGTTGGTAGATATATTGCTGCATATATTTACTTTATTTGAACATGAATAAATGAATATGAATACAGCAGTAAACATCTATTGGCTACGTAAAAAAATCCCAGAGGAACGTCAACCTGAATAGACGATGTCCTCTCCGTCTGCGCGTGTTGTTATCGGAGCTTAACGTTCCATAATCAGGCCTTTAAGGGGACGTCTGTGCACCTTAGCATCAACATGCTTTTTACAGTAAAAAACTCATGTGGGCTCAAGGATCTTTGTACTCCATATTTATATTTAAAGTTATATATAATTGTGTGTATTTATTTAGTCTTTCTAACAGAATGTGAAGGGTTGACAGGACACAGACTCACAAATGAGTATCCAAGATGATGCAGAATGCAGGAGCTGGCAGACATGTCTTCAACACAGCTGGCACAGCTCAAAGGTTATCCGTATATCACATCCAGAAATACATAACGCTGTGTTTGTGTGTTTGACAGCCTGTGTGTTTGTATCAACATCCTTAGTGCCGAGTCCAACAAAGGAGGCCTGTTGAGACCTGCAGAAGTCGGTTAGAGGCCGGGAAAATGAGGACGCCAAGAAAAAGCATCAGGAGGATGAGGGAAGGGAGGAAGGTAAACATTGGGAACGAGAGGGAAAGGAGAGGCCGGCCAGCAGCTTGTGTGGAGAGATTCTCTCCCATCGGGCAGCAGGTGCTGACTCAGGACGGAGCGCAGATGATTGCTGGCCCAGGTGAGGGTGTAATTTCCTGTCCGTGGGGGTGTGTGGGCTTCGCACCTGCCGAGAGGCATCCTGAAACACAGCTGCTCACCCTCAACGAGGCACCGGCCAGTTAGGTAATAAAGATGATAACAGTGCGAATAAGTCGCACATGTTTCATCTGAAGCGCGACGAAACCACCACGCGCTCCGATTAACTTCAACAAGTGGGCGGGGCGTGAGGACAAGACGGAGGTTGCCAGATCGAATGTTTATATAGTAAATAAAAGAGACACGTTGGCCTTTCGGTGAGCATTAAGCAAAATGCTTTGAACAGGCGGTGTATAAGGAACCAGTCTAAAACGTTGGCCTGGAGAGAAAACTAATGCTTGCGCTTGACCATTTGAGCATGAGAGAACGATCCAGCGACGCCTGCAGAAATCAAATAAAAGGATACTTGAAGCCGATTAGGCAAAGAGGGGCCTTTCGGTGCTTTTGTCCAATTAGAAATGCCTGGATAACTCACGTCACAAAAACTAGATTTTTGTTCTCAGTCTGTAAATTACCTTTTGCATATATTAATTGGACATATGTTACACCACTGCTGTGGTACAGAATCGCTGACGTATTAGCCTCATGAATTGCTTATTATATTTAGTTCCATCCAGAAAATGCTAATCACCACGCAATGTTTTACAACATCTGGAGGAGAATACCAAATGGTATCACTGCACAGCCAACCTTGATCCGCTTTCACTAGTATGAATATTAAAACCGACACATCCACATAAAATAGTGATGGTTGAGGTGGGGGGGGCTGCTGGATGTGGCTTGTGTCAGGATTGTCAGTGTTGCGCATTTGGTTACGTTTGTAGGAACATCAATAGACAATGGCCCGAGGTGGGCTTGAATTATTCACAGAGTGCCGAGGAGACGTGTGCTTTTCGCTCCACACACAACGCGGCGAAGCATTAACTTTGATCATTTCCCTGTTTCTGGAGAGAAAACAATTAAAAGAAATCAATTAGCACAAAGTCCGTCCGTTGGATCAACTTGTGTGTGCGCGTTTCATTGTTGTCGGAGATGTTGAATGTGTTTGTTTTCACACCCGCAGTGACCGCCAGAGACTAGCTGGACAAATGGGACGTTTCAAGATTCACAGTGCTGACGACACGCGGGGATGACGCCGTCTTCCTCACACTGTGGCTGTTCTATTTTTCGCCGACAGCAGATTGCGTTTGCGTCTGGGTCAGCATTTTTGTGTTACTACTGCTGGCCGCATGAAGCCAACATTTTCTAGCGCTTCAGGCAAAGGAGTGCGTTGTTTGATCGGCTTCAAAACAGCCCGGTTTTCCTCACACAGAACACGGGAGAAAACGCGGGCATTTGCACTCACGTCAATATCTGACGAAAAACTTTTCCACGGCAGTAATATTAAGGCCTCTCTCTCCTCGGGTGAGTTTGAGTACTTTTAAATTCAATTCGGTTTTAGCGGCTCTTCAAGTGAGTTCGTTTCTTGAGTTCCTGTTAATCTTTTGAACCTAACTCACACTCAAATACACATGCACTAAACTCCACTTAAAGTCACAAGCATCCTTGACACACACACACACACACACACACACAAGGAAAAAGGGGGCTGACTGGAGGTATTGGGGGCTGGAATGTGTGGAGGGGACAGACTGGGGATAGAAGAAAAGGCGAGGAGGAGGAGGAGGAGGAGGAGGCTTCACATCAAGTGGTGCTCCTGCACAGAAGAGGCGGGGAAAGAGTTCAGCGGAGGGTTAAGTGAGGTAATTGGAACAGGATGCAGGTGCAGGTGTTTTCTCAGCTTCTCAACTTGGAAGCTCAGACCTGCACACAAACTTGACTGCGGCCTCGTTAAAGCAAAAGCCTGCCTGCGCCAATTAGCCGGTGAAGGTCATTGAAGGTCACTGTGTGTTCGAGGGAGATAAGTTTTCCCATTAATGGCCGAGTACCTCTGCTTGACTCTGTGGGGTCTGAGTCGCAACCAGACCTGCACACCGACTTCCCTTAAAAAAGTAGGACAAACATGGCCATTGTTTTATTTATCGCTGACAAAACATCTTATGGTGTACTTCCATTGCTCTAAACCATGATGGAATTACCGTATGTTGCTGCACATTGGAATAAATCACCTTTCTATCCAATTAAAAAAAAAACATTACACAATCGGGGGAGTAGAAATCTCTTTAAATGCAGTCGAGCCTGATTGATTTTTATGTTGTCTTCGCAATGTTCTGCATTGTTCACAGCCTTTAATAAAATAATGTTAGGAAATAGCCGAGCATGAACATAATTAGAACATGCGGCTGGATTTGATGTATATACACTAAGGTTGTGTTAGGTTAGTACAATCAGACTTATCGGTCTCATGTGTGGAACAATGTTTCTCATGCAGAGCTACAAAGTACCACCCAAACCTACACACTAAAATCTCTCACTCACAAACCCTGTCATTTCCTCTCTCCGCTGCCAACTATATTTACCACCCTCACAAACTCGCTTCACACCAATCCGGCTGCTCCCCCCTATATTTTCGTGTCATCTCATGTCTCCCTTCATCTCTCTCTCTCTGCTACCTTTCAATGTACAACAAGTCTGCACCATCTGGTCACTGAGGAGGGAGACAGGAAGGGAGAGCTCCAATCAATAGACACTCTGCCTTGTGGCAGAGCTAGAAATCAATGGTAGCGGGGAATTAAGCTGTAGTCTTTGAATAAATTGAAGACGCTGGAGCAGGCAACGAAACCACTTGGTGCAAGAAGAGTAAACCTGTTCAGATTAAAATGTAAAGGATGTTTGTTGGGCTTTGCGCTGAGAATACCTCGAGTCACAAGTACTCTGCCTTAGAGGAGATACTAAGGCCTTTGTAATGCTGGTGTCCTGAAATAAAACGATAGCAGTGCATTCACTCTGCAAAGAGGAACAAGCTGAAAGAATGGAATGTGCTTTGTAGGAGCAAGAGGGCATATTTGGGATTTGTGCAGAGAAAAGGCTTGATAGAGAAGACAGCGTTGTGACGGAGCTGCTTCTCACCTCAGCTTGCAATTCATAGTTAAAAAAAGAAGAAAGAAATCTGTTTATAAAAAGACAACTCCCTTAGGATTCATATTAGTACGAGGGAGGTTCAGCTTGGCATCTGTTCAAGAGCAGAACAAAAAAAATGAAAACATATTGCATGCAGTAAATATTGACATGTTAAATGTGAAGAACAAAGACACAGGTCAATGATCTATTCAGAAAAGCAAAGAAGCGTGAATGCAAGTTTAAAAGTATGAAATACTGTTCACTTATTATTTTACTGATGCAGTAATGACAGGAAATGGAGCATTAATGATTTAGGTTGGTATTTTCTTTTGCTAATTAAAAGATAACTGTAACCTACTGAAAGGCGTGATTATGAGGACTTTACCCATCCTCTAAAAGTCTACACCATAGTCAATAATTCATTCCAACCCTGGCAGTTTATTCAAATCAGTGAGCTTTGAAAAACAACATAAACAAAAAAAAAGGGGGGAACTAGAAAGACAACAAGAGAGAAGGAGATGGACCAGAATTAGAAGGAGCACAACAGAGAGACAGACGACGATGAGACAGAGAAAGAAAGAAAGTCAAAGAGAGGAGCAGACAGCACGTTGAGTGAGACGGAAAGAGTTAGAGAGAGGTAAGCTCTGTTATTTCTCTGAGGACCTGTGTGAAGTAGCTCATACTGAGGCCTCTGGCACCACATCACTCCAACCAGCCTAATTGCAGTCCGACGGGAGTGGAAAAGCCTTGTACGGACCCGAAGGATTCCTGCATAAAAACAGGACCAGAAACCAGCAACCTTGTGTTGCATAACCAAGTCAAACTTGTGCAGCTTTCAGGGTTTTGAGAATATTTTATACCCTGTATTTTTTTTAAAGTGGTCCCATTAATTACCTTTGGTGGCTAATATGGTACAAAGAACTATGGATTGAGTTTTGGCCTCATAGATGTCAATTGTTTTATGGATGCAATGGACCTTTGTATATTTACTTCTTTTTTAAATTTATAATCCGCTGCAAGCGATTTCCGTCCCTGTGAATATTCCGACATTTTGTAAGATAATCACCAGTCAGAGTCATACATTTTCACAGCACCACGAACCGCTACCCTGAAAAAACTCTTGTTTTCAGTCTGTTGTTTTTGCTGGTGACAACTGCAAAAGCCATTTCCTCGAATGTGATGCAAATGATTGGGACATCCTTCCTGCGTGATGATCCTGGCGCCCCGGAGAGACCAAAGGTTGCCATCTGGAGGAAAAGCGATGGGTTTGGCTTTGAGACAGGGAGAAAGGGCTGGAGGGTAAGAGTCGGATACGAAGCAGAATGGCTAAGATATCACTCCAGTTACTCTGTATTCATTACTGTCATCCCCCCACATACAGACATCTGTGACCTGTGGGCTGGTGGTCGCCAGCCAAGGTCTGCCTCATGTGCTATGATGGATGGCGAGGGGCGCGGTTGGGTGTCTGACTGAGTGGAGGTGTCTGAGAGGGGGGAGTGGAGCCATGGTGCACAAGCATGGGTTGGTGTCTTCTTTTCTCATTTACAGAATGACGAGCCAATACAGGTCCATCACTACGCGTGCAGCTCCGTGCCGTCAACATCTGTGAGACCGAGGTCAGCGCGCCGACCAGCTGGGGTGTTTACGAGGTGCGACGTTTGAGACCATGGAACGCTTTTCTGTAAAAAAATCATGTAGCAGATGCCTGGAGTTATCTAACATCCATTATGAGCTCCTCTCCGCCCACAGTATGATACGATTTGGAAAAATGTGAGACAGTGGGTGTGAAGAACGGAAGAGGGGGGCGTGAGGGGGGGTCTGAGACAGGGCCATGTGGAAGAGAAAATAAACCCTTTTCTGATTTTACACGCACATCTAAACTCGACGTTCACAGAGGCAGAGGCCCTGTTTTTTTGTCCCGCATAATGAAACTCAAGCCAGTTGAGCCTGGCTGCTCTTTTTTGCCAATTTTAAGGTAACTACAGTGAAATAAACGACCTCTGACATCTGCATGAGTTTTCATTTCGTTGGTAGCTCACGGCTCCAGAAAGCAACCCGATAACCCTCCAACACCGACTTCTGAGGTCAGCGGGTGAACTAAACTAAACTGAAGTGTTTGAAGTGAGCGCATTCCCAGGATACTTTAGAGACTGTGGTAGAACAAATATCTGTAATTTATTAATAAAGAAAGCTAATCACTTGATGCCCGAAGTTTGTTTTTCACTGTATGTTAATATTTTCTGTCATCTTTTTTTTCCAGGATCTGTTCTTCCGGCTCGCTTTGTGTTCTCTAACTCACCACAATTTTCATATTCTGGTTCTTTACATTTCATACTGGACTTGTAGGTAGGTTGTGTTAGCGATATTGTCAGGGATTGCGGGAGGTAGGACTCAGACGCAGAGTTCAAAAACAAAAGGGACTTTTAATAGTCAAAAGCAAAAACAAAAGGCCAAGGGGCAAAAACACACAGGAACCAGGGGGAAAAAACAGCAGGCAGGAAACTATGAAAATCCACGACGATAGACAAGGACATGCGTGGCCAAAGACAATGACGCGACAAGTGACAACAGACACACATGGTTTAAATACACTAGGGAGGTGCAGGTGATTGGACACAGGTGGAAACTAGACGATCACAGGGGATGACATGACAAGGCAGGAAGTGACGTTACCCGGGGAGACGCAAAGCAGAGACTACAAAATAAGACAGGAAATAACCCACATCGTGACAGATATGAAGTTAACATCCATAATGAGTCATTTTAAAACGTGTGTTTAGTTGTCAGCATGTTGATGACAATATCGACATTCTAGAATTCATGTAATTGATGTTTCTGTTGAGGCATCAGATCAGATTAGATTACAAAACATCACAACCACAACCAAGCATTCAGTTCATCAGGTCCTCGTCAAGTAAAATGTCTTCACAGTGTTCAACATCTCATTCGCAGTAATGGAAGAAGTTAGCAGAATATTCCATTTTGTGTTTAGTCAGGGAGGGTGCGCATCAGAAATGTATTTATCTGCAAATTATGAAGGAGGATGTTCATTTAGTTAGAAGCTAATTATTTGGAATAAAGACGGCTCGAAGTCCCTCAGAGTGCCACACGCTGTCAGGCTTTCCTTCAGACTCTCTGAATAGCCCCCCCAATCCCGTGCCCCCTACCCGCCCTTCCCTCATTTTATATTCAGCTCTACAAAGAATTATTATTGTCCAGGCAAACTCAGCATATTACATCTAAATGAAATATAGTGCCATAGCAATATAATGGTGCTAATGTTATTGTCAGAAAAAGAGATTTATGAGTAAAAAATGTAATGGTAAAAAATAAATGTTTAAAATGAACAACGTACTAAAGGAAAGACCAATTTCCATTGATCATTAATCAGACAGTTTATAGCCTTTCTATGACAAAGATTCCGATTAAGTTAATTACTTGAAAGTTGTATTTAACAGGCTTTGCATCAGATCGATGCGGCGCCTCTCACGTCTTCAGGAGCTCCACAACAAAATGGTTCTTTATGATTTCGTTGATTTAACCGGAAAACTGAAATATGCTTTGAGAGGGATTTCACTTTCACACTTATCAATAGCCTAATTTATTTCCAAATTAAGTCACAGAGCATTTAGGGATTTAATCCATGGGAAATATTAAGTGCTGTAGGAAACAGCAAATCACCTATGAAACACATCATCTTTTAAAAGCAAACTTATTTTTCTCCAATCCAGGGCAAAAAAACTAATTTTGGAAATGTTTCTATATGACTAAACAGAATAGCTAAACAGCTATCAAGTTTCACTTTAGTTTAGCAGGTTGTGTTAAATTAGAGAGTTTTATTTCGTAAATCTCTCTGTCAAATCGGCTCTTTCATCCAAAATGATCTGATGAAACCTCAGAGCCTCCCGTCTTTGCTTTAATACTGAAATACTCAACTTCACCAACTTCACCAATGCCAATCACGCTCACATAAAAGAGGGCATGAAGCCAGCGCCGGATTCGCTGTGTGAATTATGTGATCATGATATTCAAACTTTTTTCCTGGTGGGTTTTTCTTATTCAACGCTTATAAACATTCCTCAGTAGTAAAGTTGCACAAGTTATGCCGCGACTAAACGCCTTGCGTGATCAATTTAAGCTGCAGCTCTTTCTCCTTCTCTGTGTGTGTCTGCTGACGAGGCACAAGAGGCGATAGGTTTCAGTCCACGCGACTTCATGTTTACAGCAATCGGTTCATTTGTCACGAGTCAGTGCAAAGTCTAAATAAACTAAAAGGGGAAGGCAACAATGACCTTTTGGACTGAAGCAATGGAACCATACAGCCCGCTGTGTGTGTGTGTGTGTGTGTGAGGAGCTGTTCTCAGCAATGAGCCCTCTATTGTCCATGTTGTCCGTCCTCTCTCTGTCATACAACATGGGCTTGTATGAAAAAGTTGCGCGAATATTCATGTGTTCAGTCATTTCAATCCCTTTTAAAACTGAAAATATTGTGACTGTATGGAACCATGTTTATCATGTAGAAAGTAAGTAAACATGTTGGCGCATTAGCAGCTTAACAGACATACGATATGAAGAGCAAAACAGAAGTCAAATAAATTATTTAGACTTGTATAATTTATTCAGTTGACTAATTAAGTCATGCAAATTCTTCATTAGGGAACACAAATTGAGTGTCCGATGAATTTTACTCTGCCAAGCTCCTGAGCATCAGAAAGAAAACACTGGAAGAGAACCTCATTTTACCGCCATAAATTGGAAGTATCAGTCTGCTGCCCACTGCCCAGTTTGGTGTAAAAAAAAAACCCACTCAATGAATTTTGTTATGATGAGATGACACACTTTGCAGTGAAATGTGCAGCTGCACACAGCTGCTAAACCAGTGTCATGGTTCTGAAGATAATCCAGCGTGTGTTTTACAACTGTGTCAAGCCCTGTAACACTTTGAATTGTACCCAAACATGGAAGAAACCATCATTATTTCCCAACAGTGGTACCCTCAGGCATATACAATCAGGTAAATAAATGCTGATTACGGATCTGCATCACCAGGGGGGTCATGCTAACAGACCTGGAGTAAGTTTTATGATTCTAATTACAGCTTTGTATCTGCAGGAGGGAAATGTTCCCAAGCGTGGCAGCAGATGTGTGGTGCTCCATCGTCATATCTCACGGCTTCTACGGCGATCCGCGCGATAGTTGTTATTTATCTGTTGCATGGGGGGGGGGGGGGAAGAACACTTCTTCCCTCTGACATTCACACCCACAACACTCACAAAACGGGGGGAAAAAAGCCGTGCTGCGCCGTCTGTTCGCAATTCCCAGCCCTGACATTTGGTTTCCGCTGTTTTTCTGAACCTTGTGGAGATAACTCTCGCTCCCTTTCCCTCCCGCCTCCCTTCTGTCCCAGCGGGGACACGACAAGGTGACAGCATCCATCACCCGTCAACCGTCAGACGTCATCTGCTGACTGCCGTCCCAGAGCGAGGAGTCGTGAGTTAAAGTCACGCTAATTTCCAGGAATTAGACACAAAACTTTTGAGTGGGTGTTTGTGTGTGTGTGTGCATAATTGCACTGAATTTCTCCAATCAGTGTGTGTTTTATCCCGGCGGATAACCTTTTCAAGACACCCGAGCGTGCGAGCACATACACACATCTCGCAGTCCCTCCTGTCCTTGTGAGATAGCTGTCAATTGTGTCTTTGCTTGACCTCCAAGTCTGCTTGCACACGTCTTTCTTTTTACTCCATTTGCATGATCAATACAGTCCCATTACGGCCTTCTACATTAGAGGAAGAGTGAAGTCTGGAGTGTGTGGGCAGAGAGTACACAGAGGGGAGAGAAAGCAGCAACATGGGAAAAAGTGAAGTACTTCAAATGTATTTTGTGCATCCAGTGTCAACGCACAAACACACACACTTGACAAATTAATAAACCACCTTGCAGTCTTTTTTGTTAAAATGAGTATGATTATACCTTGAAAATGACACAAAATTATAGTCTTTCAGTGTTACAGATGAGAGGTGAAGCGGGACAAAAGGACTGTCAAAATGCATTTGGCAAGAGGGGCTGCTTCCTCTTCAGAATTATTGTGTTTTGTCCTTCTAAAGCAACCTTCCCAGTTGAATCAACCCCCCTGACTGGCACAATGAAGTGGAGGAAGACAAATTCCTACCTTTGGTCACAAGCAGAAAGACGTCTGGACAACAAAATGCACGTGGAAAAGCCTGGAAACAGAGAGCAGTGGAGAAGTGCCGAATACACACATCACAGAGTAAAGGAGATTACACGTGAAGACTTGATTGGCCCTTTCAGAGACGGAGGCAAAATGTCCGGAAAAGGCATCTTTGTAGCAGAGAGAAATTTACATCGGGTTGTGAACAGTAGACGGATACAGACACATGAATATATGTACTGTTTTTTAATGGGGTGATTTAATTGGCTGAAAATTAGTTCCAATGACAGCTACTGTATTTACGATGCGGTTTGTGACCTTGTTTTGCGACCTAACCCCGTAAAAGCAAACATGCAACTTGGATGGCAGCAGCATGCTTCCTCTCAGGTTGCACACTGATTCTAATGCATACGTAATGCTGTTTACAGCCGCGACAGCAGCGCCAGATTGTTTTTCACCTCCCGGTGGAAAAATGTGCTCCTGGAGACGCCTACTAAAGCAAGAATTAGCGCAGAGGCAGTTTTGTGTGTTTGTACATAGTCATCAAAATTGACTGATATGTAGTAAAGATCAAAATTTGAGTTTATTACCTCCAAATTTTACACCCGTTTCCCAATAAGGAATCACAAAGCTTCAGGTGTGTAGTTGAGATCAAAATGAAGGAATAAATGAGTGTGTGTGTGATTGCAAGTAATGTTCTCACGTCGTTACTGTCGACAATAGAATTGTGTATTTTTGCTGTGGATGAAGTGTGGCATAGCTGGGTTATGCCTACATTTAAATTGTTTGTTTGTGAATGTCTTCATATGTTTTTTTTAGGGCTTTCAACATAAACGCATTAATCTATGCGGTTAATGCAGCCGAAAGTAACGCAACAAAAAGTTTTAACGTAGTTAACGTATGTTTGTTTACTTTCGGGACCGGAAATTAACAATTAATCAACACTGTTTAAAATGCTTGCTCATTTATTTTTAATAAGAACAAACATTCATTAAAAACAACATTGTAACAACAACAACATGCAATGAATT